ACTCCTCCACCCCCGAAAGCTAAGGCGCGCCCCCACCCCGAGCAAACACAACTTTATGTCTCTATAACGTTTGCCGCCGACGCGCAAACAGACGCACACCTGTTGCACATCGAATAGCGCACACGCTTCTTGTGTTGTGTTTGCAAAACACGCGCACGTATGGATTCTCGCGCGCGCATCAACGGAGGCCATACTCGATGCGACGGCCGCCGTCGGCTTGAACTGTTTGCGCTCCCAACAACACGTTCTGCCGCAACGCCGGTGACAATCTGTCGCTCTCGAGACGAGGCGTAGCGGTCGAAAAAAACCTGGCCCACCACCTCCTGCCATTATCGTCAGGCCATTCTAACAATAGCCTTTTGGTTTAACCAGATGACTTTAATGAGAGCGGATCCTTCAACAGTATTTACACCGGCGCTGCGGTTAATTGCGGCTAATTTCATCCGTCGCCACCCATCTCACGTTTGCTCCTTTCGCCTCGTTTAACCTGCGTGATTCAATCAGGCTGTCTCCTCACCTGGAATTCATCAAGACAACATGGGTGGAGGCTCATGCTACAGTGGAAGGGTAGGGGTTGGGTGTAGAAGAAAAAAAAAAAAGGAGTCAACAAGGAGTCATGTTACGCTTTTGCTATCTGAAGCTTTGCTTCCAGCGGATGGAAACGTTGAAGCAAATTTTCTTGATCGACAATGAGAAAAATGGCAGCACGGTGGTCGAGTGGTTAGCTTTTGTGGAGTTTGCATCAATCCCCGAGCTCGTGTGGATTTTTCTTCAAATACTTAAGCTTCCTCTCACATTTCGAAAACACGCACGATAGATTCATTGAAAACTCGAAATTGTCCTTTTATGGTCCTTGGGCGATTCTGTAGCGAACAATCCTGGGTGTAGTGCACCTCTCATGCAAAGCCAGCTGGGATAGGCGCCAGCTCTCCTGGAACGTGAGGTGTGTCGAAAAAGTTCCAAGACTCGTGCCACAAAAGATATTTCAACTCCCATTAGTTGCTTTGCCCTTCGCTACGGGCCAGATGATCTCGTCAAAGAGGTGAGAGTTGTGGCAGGAGAACTCGTGACTGCTACGCCGTGACAACGGGGGTGCTCACGATGCCTTGAGCATCTGACAGTTCCTGGCTGAGAAACACATCATTGTGCTGGAGCGCCCTCTCGACTCACTTTTCTCAATGTGATTTACTTTCCTCTTTTCCAATCATCTTTTGGACTGGACACCTTCTTCCGAGCTCCCTTCTTGGAGATCCTCCCGGAAAGCCTCTTAACAGTTGATTCAATCTTGTTTCTGTCACTCAGTCAGATGGTATCAAGTTGTAGTCGGCAACTTTGGCGAACTCCGACACCTTTATCGGTTTCATCGGGTAAAACAAGCGGCAGACGCATGGCCTGCAGCTTGCACGTGCACATAAAGATGTGCAGCGTTGACACAGCGGCAAGTGGATATTAGCTCCAGGCAGCATGAGTGTCGTCATAAAAACTGCTCTGGCAAAGACAGGTGCGTCTGAGTGTTTGCGTGTGAGTGTGTGCATCTCGGGTGCAAACACCGCGCAGCAGGGCCAGATGTGCAGCTCATGAATGTTTTACGACCAAAACAGAGCTGCGTCTTATCTCCGCTGAGCAAACACGCGGCCGGGCGTTATCTCACTGATCGTCAGTGCTCAGAATACAACCGGAGCCTTCTAAGGAACTAATAATGTGAATGAAACGTCAAAGTGTCGTCACCATTGAAACTTTATTAATTGTAATGGTGATGTTTTAAGCTAAAAAAACAAAAAGAGAGCTAGCCACTGTATAATAGAACCAAATGAAACTCATATCTTAACTGTTTGCAAGCTTCTTTGCTCTCTGTTGGACTGAAAATTGTGATTGTGACTTGTGAACTGAGCTACCAGCTAGCATGTGTTGCGTCAGTATGAGAGACGCTTACTCTCCCACAAGTGTGGCCAGTCTGCGTTTGTCTATGAAATCTGAACAAAAAAAAAAAAACTTTTCCAACACTCTTACTTCATTCCAGATGACCTTGTGGAAACTATTCAAATGAAAAGACAAAATGAGGTGAATTAGAAAAGCAGACACTCACCGAAGGCTCGAATTGTTGGCTAGCGAATTGTTGGCTAGCTCAGGGTAAAATGAATTTGTTTTGAAACTGTTCCTCTCTTCTGCTAAGACTTTTATTGCAAGAATAAGATTGTCAACAGCGACGGTGGGGATATTTGTCAGTCGCCGGTCATTGCGAGAGCTGCGGGCAAGCCGTTGTATTTTTTCCAAGTCCTCGAGCAGCTCACCCAAAATGCGCTACTTTAGTCGCAAACCACAAGCACATGAAACAGCTTCACAGCATTCAACACCGCGTGCCTAACCTGAAGAAGCGACCGCCCGCAGCTGAATCGGGAGGTCAGCGGTTTGTTTGTTCTTGCCGTATCTAAGGAACTCTCGGCATTTCTCAGGTGGGCTTCACGCTAGCTTGCGAAGAAACGGCACACTCTCGCACTCAAGTAACAGTACACTCAACCTGTCCAGACTGTCTTGGTGCGAGCTGAGAGCCAAGCCTCGCACTTACGTGTGACATGAGGCTGTCACTGATTCATAAAAGTGGGGGAGCATTCCAGGGCTCTTCGTAGGTCAACAAGCAAATGCTTCAAGGAAAAAGGCCAGTACAGTGAACCTTATAGAAATCCATCCATCCATTTTCCGATCCGCTTTATCCTCACAAGCGTCGCCGGGGGGTGCCGGAGCCTATCCCAGCTGTTTTCAGGCAGTAGGCGGGGGACACCCTGAACCGGTTGCCAGCCAATCACAGCGCACACACACAGACGAACAACCATCCGCGCTCACACTCACATCTTGGGACAATTTAGAGTGTTCAATCAGCCTGCCATGCATGTTTTTGGAATGTGGGAGGAAACCGGAGTACCCGGAGAAAACCCACGCAGGTACGGGGAGAACATGCAAACTCTACACAGGAAGGCTGAAGCCACCATCTTGTGGCATCCATAGGCAATTCGAAACCTTTTTGCCGCTGACAATTACCTGCGGATTTTTAGCTATCCGCGATAGGGCTCGGCCTTTCGTTTCTGTGAATAACGGGAAGACTCTAATTTCTTCAAATAAAAGTGCTCTTATAATATTTGCTTCATGGCACATAGAATGAGAAATATTTGCATACATATTAGAACCACAGATGCTATGTAATTATAAACCTGATCACAACTCCTGTTTTGGGACACGAGAAGCAACAAGGCATAAAAAAAAAAAAAAGGATACAACAATCAAAGGAATGCATTCATTGATTGTTGGGAACTTTCATCACTGATCTGCATCTCTCCTAGTAGACCTTAGGCACCAAGTGGTGCTACACGGAAGTGGGGCAACTCTAAATTCGGACTTTCGGAAGTAAGAAAAACAAAAACACAACTTTTGACGAACACAGAAAAGTTTGCATGTGCAAAATGTGAGCGCTAGTAAGTAGGGGAGTGCCTGTATACATGATAACCCCCGAATAAAAATCTTAAATATCTGTGGGTGTGAACGATGAGCCGTGATATGGGGGGTGTTTTTGGAGGGGGGCTGGGGGGAATTCTACTAATAGGAAGAGGAAGGTATGAAGGTACAGTAAATACTTGGGAGGGATAATAAAGCAACTCGTGTGTTTGCATTTGCCAGGAAAGCATTCGTGAGTTCCAGCAAAGCCTCGTGGAGCAGAGTCTGGAAAGTCCGGGCTGACTCAACGCGGCGTCACCCTTCCAGAATGCAGCGAGCCAGCACAGACGACGAGCGAGAAAAGCAGACAGCGAGGCAGCAGGCGCGCTGTCTGAAAACGCAGCTGAGGTATTATTAGAAGCGTTCATGTTTTCTGGCTGCTTTAACCTCGCAGGCAGCTGCCCCCTCAGCAGGCGCGTCCCCCCCCCCCACCCACCCCATCCCT